CATCCATTACGCACTTCGTGGCCTTCGGTGATAGTTTGTCACGTTTCTCTGGCTCTTTGATCATATTGTAGGCGATGCATCCGAACACGCGCAGCTTGTCCAAGCGGGCGCGATGCCCGGAGAAGGCTTCTATTGGGGTGGTGGTGGCCGCGGGACCATTGGGCACGCGGTTCTGGATGAACACAGCGGTGTTCACTGCTTCTGCCCACCATCGCTTGGCCAGGCCGGCGTGAGACATCATGGCCATGGCCATCTCCATGATAGAACGGTGAGCGCGCTCAGCCATTCCATTTTGCCATTGATTGTCTGCTGTAGACTTCTCGTGGGTGATACCCCAGGTTTTCAAAGCCTCGTTGAAGTCATTGGATGAGTATTCTGGTCCACCATCAGATCGAAAAAGCTTGATCTTGCGGCCGGTCTGGACTTCGGACCAGGACTTCAGCTTATTGAAGTTCTCGTGTTGGGTGGCGGCGTCGGTCGACTTGACGAATCGAACCACTTTCATGCAGGACCCGACGTCAAGGTACACTGTGTAGTACTTGCACCCACCAACGGATTCAGTGCGCATAGGGCCTTTGGTGTCGGACACCCAACACTCCCCTGGGCGGAAGCGTCCGCTCCTTAGGTGGCGAAATCTTGGTGATCTTGTTCTTGGCGCAGCACTCACACTTCACCTTGAGTTCGGGCAGCTGTTTTTTGGTGTACCAAGTCCCATGGAGCCGCATCGGTTTACGGCTGCAGTGGGTAAGTGTCCCACTCGTTGGTGCCACAGTGCTGACATCTGTTGTGTAGACTTCTTCGTCGGGATGTCGGCTGCGAGGTTGCATTGCTCGACTTCGCCGGCGAGGTGACAAACGGCGAACTTCGAGTCGCGGCGCATCATGGCGGTGACTGAAAGGAGAGTTGATGGCATGGCGTCAATTACTAACACATCTTCCATGACTGGAGTTGCGCCTGTATCGGTGGTCACCCGCATGGTACCCATCTTGGTCGCGCGTGTTCGGCCGCCGTTGGCGACGATGACCGTCCGGTCACAGGGCTTCAAGTCGGTCAGCCGAGTGGCGTCCCCGGTCATGTGGGTTGACGCTCCCGAATCAACGAGGACTTGGCCGCGGGAGTCGGTGGCGTGGAAGACGAAGGCGTTGCTATCAGCGTCTTCGACTTCTTCGTCCTCGATTGCCGCGAACATCCACACTTCTTCATCCAAGGCAAGGTTCCCGGAATCTTCCTTGTTCTGATCTTTCTTGCCACTATTGCCCTTAGGGTTGTTTCCTTTTGGTTTTCTGGGACGGCCGGCTTGCTTGGAGCGGCACTCTGCTTCCCAGTGGCCCTTGCGCTGGCACCAATTGCATTTGCCCGGCTTGGCAGTGGCGATGAGTGCATGGTCGTCGTTGTTGCCGCTCTTGGGATTGGTGAGTGCGCCCGAGCGGATGGCGGTTTTATACTCTGCTTCCAAGAGGACTCTAACTGTAGCTAGGTTCTGACTCTGCGCTATCGGCATGGCGTGAACTTGGTGAGTCACTGCGCGCATTTGCCACGGGAGCATGTCGAGGAGTCGATCGACGACCATGGAGTCGTGGATGGCGTCGCCGCTTGCCTTGAGCTTGCGGAGAACGATCTCGTATCGTTCCAGGAACTGCGGTAAGCTTTCTTGCTTCGTGTTCCACTTCATGTTGAAGTACTCGGATAGGGTGGCCAGCCTGTCGACGCGTGTTTTCGATTCGTGATGCTTGGCTAGCGCGCACCATGCTTCGCCGTACGTATCGGCCTCGGCCACGTACAGTTGTTGGGACTCCGAGCAGCAGGTGAGGAGAATACCCAAGGCATATGCGTCGTTGTCGTCCGAGTAGGCTGAGTCATGTGTGTTGGTTCTCGCGGGGGTCGTGACGTTGCCGTCGTTGGACGCCGCGAGTCCTCGCTCGTTGGCCAGTGCGACTGTGGCGTCATACACTGCCTTGAGCTTCTTGCTCAGCATGCGACCCTTGAATGCTGTTCGCCAGGAGTTCCAGTTGTCCTCCCGTAGCATCATTGTAGATGTCTTAGCCTCGAACATGTCAGTTGGGCTCATAACCTGTTCAATCGAGGAGTTCGAGGGCTGGCTGCGAAGCCAGTATGGTAGATTCAAGAGTAATCTATTGGTTGTTATCTACTTCTGTTCCTACTTGATATGAATGGCTCACATAGCTTCCTGTGGTCTGCGGATATATTCGATGCACATCCTCCTGTCATGTAAACATACAGAGCACATGTCTTCCCTGGACATGTGCTTGACATGCATGTTGAAGTTGCCTCCCCGAGGGAACAACATTCTCAACACGGAAGCCAAGTGCGTCGAGCATGGCCGTCAGCGTGCCGACCAGCGCGTTGATGTGCGACTCCTGCTGCGCGATGTGCAGGGACCGGCTGGCCAGAATGGCGAGCGTGATGTTGACGACATCGATGATCAGGGGCAATGCAGAACGTCATGAGCCACCATTCACAGATCGGCGCGCTGTCCGGACGGTTCTCGACGCAGAACTCCATCAGCCCCCGGTGGTAGCTCTTCAGGAACGTGAGTAGGCGGCCGATGTGGGTCCACCGGTTTGTCTGCTTGGGACACTGTCGTTCATGCGCTTCATGAGGTTGGCCTGCTTGACGAAGGTCGATTTGGTGCGGTGCGCACCAGATCCGCAGAACTGGGTTCTCGTCGGTCGCTACCATGCGCGTGACATCCTGAAAGGGTGTGTTGGCCTTCTTCTTGGGCGGCATGAGGTCGCTTGTGCTGTGTAAGGCCCGTGGAATCGCGTCCGCAAGGCGGATGAGTACTTCCTCTGCTGAATTTAAAAAACCTTAATTTCTCGTCCCTCCCAAACTTAATTTGTCGCTTTCTTGCACAATTTATAGCAAAACGACAAATTTTGGAGCCAGCAATACCGGTAGATGCATCCATTTCTGAGGACTGTTGGCTGTAGTTTTATTATGTGCGCATCCTATTGGCTGTAGTTTTATTTGACCCAAAATGTCTATTTTTAGTACCATACAAATCCTTGATGTTACGATTCCAAGAAATAGCCTTTCACAGACGATTACTGCAAAGCAATATTTAAATCCATAACTCTCAGAGTTGTTAGTCAATTTGTGCAATTCGTCGCTCAAAAAACAGATCTTGAATTATATTTTCCAGACATGTTATCTACTTCCTCTGGTGCACAATGAAGTATACCGTTATAAAATTGCAAATTTTATACTGAAGTTTTTATTGGAATTATATAGAAAAGTTGTGAAAAGTTGTATTTTTATTCAAAATTGCAGTTTTACGACCGAAGACCCCATGATATGATACATTCATTACTCATCACCATCTAAATCAACCCCAACTAATCGGGAGCAAATGGAATCAACATTGGACAAGTCGACCTCACCTTGAACTTGACAACCATTGTCGAGTAGTTCACTCAGAACGTCAACACGACGTTCAAACGCACTTCTTTCCTCCATGGCATCAACCGCTACACAAACATCTTCATCACACTCCAGTCGCGTTGGTAAGAGACCCTCCTTGACGAGCCCATGCTTCTTTTGATGCGGCAACTTGAAATCGTTGTCACCGCCCATCTTGAAAATGCACTCCATGACCTTTTGCAGCGTCATAAACGTCTTGTCCAAAACTGTGCACTCAAGTTCCTCGAACGACTTGATGACAGCCACGACAAGGCTGTCCAACGTGTAGGTGGCCATTTGGTGTTGGAGGCTCTGGATAGCGTTGAAGTAACCCAGGTCTAACACGTTCAGGTCTGGACTTTGCGCTGGTTGTGAGCACAGGCTGTTGGGGCACCCACCTTGGCTTCCAGCGGCAACGATAGCAGGGTCGTTCACGCTAACATGGGGTTTCGCGTTGTCTTGTTGAATCCATATCTGGTTCTTCTTGCGTGTCGGCCACTTGGAACGCACAGCCGGAATGTTTTTGTCGATCAAAAAGGACCGGTAAACGTCCCGTGTCACTGTGAATGGTTCAGTGACATCGTCGCCACGCTTGCGGTTCTTGCTGCTTCGCAGCGACGGCCTTGTCTTCACGAAGGGCCACATTCCAATACGTCCATCCCACATCGGTTTGCTTCGTGCGTCGTATCTTGTCCGCGCAAAAGCAGTGAGAAACATGACCTTCGTGGTATGCTTCTTGGATCGGCACTTCCGCGTTGGCACGGCTTCGTCACTCCACAGGTAGTATCGAGGGTTCTGTTTCGTCACATAGAACGATTTCTCGTCGATGTGCACTGTGTCAAGCATGTCGTGCCAGTATCGCTTGCCCGATGCTCCTGTTCGTAGGTGACGTTGGACGAACTCCATGCGGTCGGACTTATGCTAGTTCGATAGCATGGGGTTGAGGCGGCTCGTACATCGCTTCATGACCTTGGACTGCAGCAGCCGCCACAACGTCGTCCTTGCAATTCCGGCGGACTCAGCAAGGAGACAGAGCGTCGAGCGCTTGAAACTAGGAGCAGCCTTCACCTTTGCTTCCAAGACATTCAATGGGGTCTTGCGTCGTCGGTCACTTCTTGCCTTAATGCGTGAACGAACGTCGACGGTGCCTTGGTCATCGAGCGTCTCGCTTGCTCGCTTTCAGAGCTTAGCCAAAGCTCTCTTTGTAACCTCGAACTCATTGCACAGACTCTTGAGCTCTCCGTGCTTGATCCTGCCACCCGTTTCCAGCAATATACAGTACTTCTATAGTATGTAGTACTTCAAAGTAACGTTAGACACTTACTACCAGTACTACTAGTTTACCAGAACCGAAACGAAACGACGACCGAAATTATTCGGATTCACCCGTTGACCACTTCGAACATTTCGACGGTTGAACCATGGATGCCGTGCTTGCGTTGTCTTTGGCTGTCTGTGGCTGCTGGCGCTTGGCGCGTGGGGAGCGCACTGCTACCAGTCGAGTCGGGTGGGTGCCCATGATGGGATAGATGTAGTAGAGGTCACCTGCTGTGTAGTTTGTGACCGAGCTGCATGAGTCCATGACCCTCACCGCGACTCTCGGGGTCTTTCAGATGGGGGTTCGACTGATGTTGGGAGATTCCACGTCGACGTGGGTGTACGTGTGGCTCGTGGCAGGCTGCCATGCGCTGTTCCTCGTGAGTTTCTTCGCGACGATCATGCTCGTGGCTAACGGGTACACCTTGACGTTGCCCACGGTGCGCCCTCGGGATTGGGCCCGCATCCTACGTATGTATATGGTTACAGTATTCGAAAACGCATGTCCAACACCCCATTGTGTTTGCAGTGATTGCTTGTGTGCTGGGACTCGTTCGCTGGGTGCGCAGTGTAGCCGATTCATTTGCAGGGATGCTGGTCGAACTGACGTTGCAATTTTTGGTGCTGCTGTACGTGCTACAGGTAAAACATTCCAACAGCAATCATGCCGATGGATGCATTGCCGTGGGGCAATTGTAGGCGTGTTCGTTGAATGTGCACTTTTCGTTGTTCTTGGTGGCCTTGTTGAGACGGGTAAGTGGAATGAATCTGGCAGTGCCATATATCATTGTGAGCAATGGCTCATTTAGGAAGGATTGGGCCAAGAGGTTGCGGTGGTAGAACCGTCTACCCACCTCTTCAAGCAATGTCAAATTGCCTTTTCGTGCTTCTTTATGGGGTACATGGCGGTATGTACGCAAGCCGAGCCTTAACTTGAGCCCTCAACTGCATTGTAACACGTAGATATGTGCGTGGTCGTTGACTATTCTGCAACCCTTTCGAACCACGTTTTTCCTCCTTGAACAGTCGCTGTTGCTTGGTCTAGCTACCTACTTTGGGTAATGACTACCCTTTTATGCATCTGTATCCGCGGTTGAAACTCTAGCTTTTTGCAGGTTCCACTTGCGTCCAGACTCCAAATCTGGATTGGTGGACGTGGCCCAGCATCTGAATGTGTCTGCAATGTCCGACTCATTCTCGAGAGTGCGATCCAATTTGAATGCACCGGAAGAGATACGACCCCTTGTGACATCGTCTTCTGTGGTGGTCATTGAGTATCCGCCGTCCAGGACGCCAGCGGGGCGATTCATGCCCAACTTCGGCGTTGGGGTCGCACCCTCGGGCCCACGACATCCAATGAGGCGTTCGCTTGTTCTATGGCATAGTTAAGGCATGTTAAAAGTGTTAGTTAAAAGAGAGGTCGTTTTGGCTTGAGCAAGGCGACGAGCCCCGCGAAAGACAGGACCACAGCCCGCATATAGTTGGTGTTAGATAGGCAGACAAGGATTGAAGTTACATAGTTAAAGCTATATATATATGTGATTGAAGCTGGAAGAGCTCCAGGCTTCACATCCCTCGACTACTTCAGTGTGTCGAGGGCCAATAGCTACCTTGTTTTGATCCTACACACACTACTTGAAGGTTGCATATATTGAGAGATATGACAAACTTCAATCAGTGCAGCTAAGGTTGCACTACTTACATGTATGCATGTCTTTGGCGATGATAAGGTTCTCGAGCTAAGCTCAATTCTGAATCCACCTTCGTTTGAGCCACTACCCCTACATCTGTGTGTGTTGTGTGCCAACGTCTGCTATTTCAAGTACCGACGCCCCCCCCAAGTTCCCCCCAAGCCCCCCCCCACATCGTTCTATTACTCTGTGACCATGTCCGACGCCACGACCAACGACAAGTCGGTCACGGACCTCAAGTTCAACGGCCGGAAAGTCATGTTCACCGCCTGGAAGGCCCGCATCATCGCGCACCTCAACTCCAAGTCGACAGAAGACGACCCCTGACCTCAACCTCTCTGACGTCTGGGCGCGCCTCGAACGCGAGTATGCGCAGTCGTCGCTCGATGTGAGCACGACCTTGTACCTAGAGTTTATAACTCTACCTACGAAACCATTTAAGTGCGTCTCTGATATGATCAAGAGAATGTGCTCTTTGCAGAATCAGCTTAATGAGCTGTATTCGAAAAACATTGGAGTCCTCTTGATATCCGAATATCAAATCTCCCAGGCAGTTGTGGCGGCACTTCCCCACGAGTACTTTGGCTCTAATGTGAACCAAACTACTGACGGTTTTAAACTGTCTACCATCGATACATTAGTGAAGCAGGTGTTTAGCGACAAGTCTAGTGAGGCTATTGCAAATATGTCTAGCAAGCGCCCAAAACGTGAAGTGCACGTCAACCAAGCTAAGGTTCACCGTAACCAAGCAAATAAGAGAAAGTCAACTGCCTACTCGGAGTATTTTTACTGTCACGGCACCGCTAATGTGGACGGCAAAGGCCATCTAAAGGCCGACTGTGCCTTGCTTAAGAGCGACCTCAGTAAAGGGATCGCGCGGAAGAACTTCAAGGAGGTTCCTGCAAAGCGGATCAAGGTGTCAACCAACACTGCTGTTGCAACGGCCAAAGGTGGCACCTTATTGGTCAATAATTTGGGCCAATCAAAGGCGAGTAAATCCTGTTATCCGGATATCCAATCAAAGGTTGGAAAAATTGGGTCTGACCAATCATCCACCGCCAAGTCCGATAATCAGAGAGTGACACGGAATTTTCCGGGAACATTGCAGCCCGCCTGAGTTCGATGGCGATCCCCGACATGGACGAACTCCCGGACAGCGGACAAGTGGTCCTGCCTGACCAGCATCGCGCATAGTCTCGCGGACCAGACAAGACGTATGGAAGAGGAGGTAAGCCGCCTTGCACCGTATCTACTGAAGAGGTCTAACACCATTGACACTAGTGACTGGGTGTTGGACTCCGGCTGTGGTATGCACATGACACCACTCTCAGGGTACTTCTGTAGTTATGTAACTAATGATGACTACGACTTTGAGTTCGGACAAGGGTCATGTCGGCGTAGTACTCACATAGGCACAGTACAGCTGTTTCTAATGGGAACTGATAAGGTGATACGGCGCATTACACTAAGCGATACGTGCTTAGTGCCCAATGCCACGTCCAATATTATAAGCGAGAATGCGCTGAAACGCCAAGGCTACCACATAATAGATGGTCTTAGTGTCCCATACAAATTCTTCTTTCAGGAAGGACATCTGATGTTCACCGCAATAGCTGTGAACGGAACATATTATGTTCGTCACCACAACCTCAAGCAAAGGCAGGTATTCTGTCACACTGCAAAGTGTACACCTGTCTCACCAACAGTGCATGTCTCGGCATCTCGTGCTGAGTCATTGCTTAAAGAACGGCATGTAAGGACCGGTCATATGGGCCGTGAAGCTGTGATTACCATGCTAAGCAGTGGTCTTGTCAAGGACTACCTAAGCTGCAAAGTAGTATGCTCAATAGCATCCCTTTCTTCTGTAAGGCCTGCACTACAATGAAAATGCGTCGAATGTCCTACCGAAATGCTCAAGGTTCGAGAAATTGGAACTGTCCATATGGACATAAACGGACCAATGAAAGTGAATGGGGTATACTCCGGTAAACTCGGCATGAAATATTACGTGAATATTGTTGAAGATGCCACGCCATGGCGATGGTGTTTCATACTCAAGAAAAAGAGCTACGTGTTTGAAAACATTCGAAACCTTGTTCAAAACTTTGACAGGAAAGGCGCCATCAAGATTCGAGTTATTAGAAGTGATCGTGGCACTGAATTCGTCAATAAAGAATTAGATGACTTCTGCAAGTTAAAGGGTATAACCTATCAAAAGTATATACCATATTCACCAGAAGAAAATGGTGCCGCTGAGAGAGATCATCAAACTAAGTTTGGGAAATTGCGGTGTGCATTAATAGATGCAAAGATGCCTGCGGTGTGGTGGCCCGAGGTCCTTGTTTATATGAACTATGTTGAAAACAGAACTCCAATGAAACCCTTTGGGTTTAAAACAGTATACGAAATGTTCTATAAAGAAGCACCGGGCGTGAGTCGTTTACATCGCGATGGACGGATGGGGCGTATCGATGACCGTACAGTGTTTACGTAGCCAATCTCTTGTACAGCCTGTCCTCGGCATGAATTTGGTGGCGTTGGTATACCTGTTGCATCATCTCCGCCTCATACGCTACAAGCTAAAACCTGCGGTTAGCTGAAAAGCTGTGATGCCGAAATCCTGGCCAACAGACTGGAGAATAGAAGTGAATAATAATGGCTCTACCATCCCCACTGACAATGTGGTTGGTGGCGATAATTGCGCTGGGGTGCGCAATGAGGGCCGATCGTACGTGGACAGGTATTCAACGACGACTGTAAACCCAAGGATTACCGCCCGTGCACCGCGTACTTCTAACAGAGTGTACATGCACCACGACAGGCATGAGCAGCAGCGAACCGACCACCCACTGTCCAAGGCCAACGCGTTGTTATGGCAAGACGACAAGCTCACGAAATTGGGCCAGCCAGGGTCGTTGGATGCGACTGAGCGAGGACATTACGAAGCACGCGTCAAGCAACTCGAGGTAGCCATCGACACGTACCATGTAACACCGCGGGAGGAAGCTTATCTAGTTGAGGGCAAAATGCACAATGAATTAACTGAGGATCTACTAAGATCTCCTTAGTCCTCATCCCTATGAATCTTCTTAGTCTACTTCACTACTTCTACATTAATATGCACTTTTGTATACAATGGATGCGGGTGCGGTTGAGACATTGGGGAACTTCACTAGACTAGCGATTCTAAGCCATACTTGCCCTTGAGACACATTCACAGGCAAGCATTAGCTAGGGTGAGTCATGAGCCAGGTACTTAGGAGCTCGGTGCGGGCAAGGTGGTGGCAAGGCGTTACCCCCACCTGCCACATCGCTACATACCACCAGTCCACCTCAACGTCCAACTACACGCGGGCGGTGCTGTCCTTCGCCGGGCTCGTGGTGTTTGTGCTGTTTCTCATCTTGCTCAATCAAAAAGTTTCCATGTTTTAACCCCGTCAATGAACGCACTTTGAACGACATGCAGCTTCCATGGTAAACGATTGGCCGTCTGAATTCTCGACAATCCAATAATCTCGTATTCATTTCCATATTGAACTACATATGTACTGGTACTGCACATTTGTTCGGTCCAGATGCTAACTACTACACTTTTAGTCCAAAGCTACTCAACCATTACACGCGACTCGACTACAGTGTCATACCCATTTTTTATATTATGTCGTAAAGTATACTACCTCTGTCCGGGAATATTTGCATGATTCAGAAATGTTGAAGTTCGATAATAATTACACAACTAGTACACTTTGAAGTGGTCAGTGCAATAATGCCAAGAATAAAAATCACCTACTAAGTTGAAGATATTTATACTTCAATCTTTAATTGCAAGAGTTCGAGCATGTCCATTTCCTCATCTTCGTTCTCGACGTCGAGTTGCTCCAGTTGTGAGCAAATGTCACCCAACTCCTACCAGGCAGCCACTTCAACAGAAAGTTTGATCACCTTCGCTTCGACACCAGTTGTTGTGGTTTCTCCCCATGAGGCGGTTGGTTACATGTTGCATACATTCGGAAGAGAAAACTGGTTAGCACTACCAGAAAGATCGCAGGAAGATCGCATGGACACGTAGGTTAGTCACTTCCAAAGTAAGAGCCAAGAGAGAAAGCGCTCCAAACCTTTGAGTTCGTCACACACATAACCTGGAGGAAGTCGACAGGTTATGAGCCCAATGGTCGACAAGTACCTCTCCGACTCAACGACCAGGCTCAAGCCCAACGGTAGCAACTACCGTGAATGGTGCGTCAAGACGCGCGCCAAGATCAACCAGCAAAAGCTGGGTAAGTACCTCAAGAAGGTCCGCTTAGCGGACGGAACATACCCGAATGGGTCAAATGAAGAAGACGACCTAGTTGCTTTATCCTACATTCAACTAAGCATACACGCGGACCATCTCAAATTCGTCAAGGACACGGCCACGACCCATGAGACATGGGAATCTCTCAAGGCCATCTACGAGAGCGCGTCCGAGGTCAACCTCGTCACCCTCCAACTTCAAATGAGCAAGCTGGAATGGAGTGAGCGCACGGGGCTGGAAGCGTTCGCCGACCAATTCCAAGAGTTCATGCGCAAACTCTCGGCGGCCGGCGACACGACGGCGGACAAGGCGCACTTGAACCGTTTCCTGTGTCTCCTACCACCGAGATTCGCCAACACAGTAATGTACATCACACGCGAGCGACGTACCACCACGGCATACGACTCGATGCCGCCGATCCTTGCCGAGCTCAAATTAGACGACGAGCGTCAAAAGCTACACGACCCTAACTTGGCCAAGCGAGCGAATACAATGGACGACGCCCTCAACGTCGGCCCGGACGACTGCCATTACTGCGGGAAGACCGGCCACTACAAGGCAGACTGCCGCCGACGTTCCGCCGACAGAGAGAAAGGAATTTACCGCCAAAACGTGCGCCAACCCCCAAGGACAAACGGCGGTCGTGGACGCGGGCGAGGGCGCGGCCGTAGTGGATGGGGGCGACATGACGACAGCAACTACGTCAAGGATGACGACGACGAAGACCTATTTATGGTCCAAGAGATAAGCATCGCTCAAGCCGATGGCGACATGAAAATATACCGTCACGAGACGGACGGGATCAAAAGCGGTGGTCCAATGGAACTCGAAGATGAGATCGACGAAGTGACGGCCGACCTGGCCAACTATGCAACAACACTGAGCGACGACGACGATGAATGCAACAACGTCCTCTCATCCAAAGACGAAGTGATTGTGGACAGCGGTGCCACGTGCCACATGACGGGGGACGAAACCATCCTCCACGATGCGATCGCGTGCAAGCGCGGCGTCCGACTCGCCGACGGCCACCCGATCTCCGTCACTACGATGGGGGACGTGAGAATGAAATCGAGGGACACGGGACGTACAGGTGTCTTTCGCAACGTGCTGCTCGTCCCGAGCCTGACCAAGACGCTCATCTCCATCAGCCGGATCACCGACAGCGCAGATGCCGCGTCCATCATATTCAAGAAAGATTACTGCAACATCCGATCGAGGACACACCTGTCGATCGTCGGCAAGTGGAATGCGGCGAGCTTGTACGCGGTGCACGGGGACGTCATCGAGCCAAGGCCAGCGGCAGACCAAGCGAACGCAGCCGAGGTCGCCGAACCGATGCTGTGGCATGCCCGCTGCGGCCATGTCCCCTGGAACTCGATGTCAGCAATGATCAAGGCCACGAAGGGAGGACCTACCAACCTAATGTTACCGGACAGCCTGTCGTGCGAAGGCTGCATCCGCGGCAAGAAAACACACACGTCGCTGCCCAAGGAAGGCGATCGCCCGCGACACAAGCTCGGCACGTGCGTTCACACAGATCTCTGGGGACTAGCAAAGGTCGAGTCACCCAACGGCGCCAAGTATTTTGTATCCTTCACCGAGGACGCCACGAACTACGTATGGGTCAAGTTCCTCCGCAAGAAGAGCGACACGTTCGCCGCCATGAAGGAGTACCTACCATGGCTCGAGCGGCAATCGGGCGCCAAGCTTAAGACCATGCGGTCTGACAACGGCGGTGAGTTCATTGGCGACGAAGTGGAAGCCTACCTGACGGAACGAGGTATCCACCACGAGACGAGTACGGCGGGCCGGCAGTGGCAGAATGGCACGGCCGAGCGGATGAACCGCACCTTGGTCGAGATGGCCCGCACCATGATGCTCCACTCCAACGTCTCCAACCGTTGGTGGACGGAGGCCGTGAACACCGCGGCCTTCCTGTGCAACCGTGTCCCCAATACCAAGACGTACGGCAAGACGCCACACGAACGATTGCGCGGCACGACCCCCAAAATGGGCAACCTAAAAATCTTTGGTTGCGTCTGCCACCGACACGTCGACCCCAAGGACAAGACAAGCAGCCGCACGAACACGTGCCTCTTTGCCGGGTACAACGAAACAAAGAAGGTCTACAAAGTTTATGACTTAGAGGACAAAAAGGTGGTGTACTCTGTCGACATTACCTTCCACGAGAATGAGGTTTTGCGGCCCAAGGCGGTACTCGCGAACGCCGACGGCGTCCAAGTGACCAAGACGGAAGGTCAACCGGCGGATGACCAGCCACTCGCCGATGACGGCGACGACGACATGGGACAAGAACAACCACCGCGGACGCCAGCACAAAACACGCCCAAGAGTGACCCACTAGCGACGCCACGTGGCCAACGACAGCCACCGCCGACGCCGTACGCGCGGTATCCGCCGCGGGTGCTCTTCCGCAACGACCCACCGACGGAAGCGGCTGAGGACGAGGTAAATCCGCTACCACAAGCTGCTAACACGATAAGGACGGGACGAGAAAACCCAAAGGCCAGAGCGGCGGCCCAGACACAAATACGAGAAACGGCGAACGAGACAATGCAGAATGTACGTCGCAGTGCCCGAATCAGCGAAATGACGCAACGGCGTCACCAAGCAGTAGCCGCACCCGAAACGAAACCACCGTTTCACCCAACCCGCGCGACGGCGCGACCGCATGACGCGGACAGTCCGTACATGGAGGCGCCGGCCAAGACGATGAGGACGACGGCCGACCGCGGCATCACGACGTGTGCATGAATGTGGCGGACGTGGACGATGACGTACCTGCGACATTCTGGGAGGCCGTGCAGACGCCCGATGCGGCGAACCGGCTTGATGCGTGCAAGAAAGAGGTTAGCAACCTTCAACGAATGCAATGCTACCGTGTGGTGACCAAGCCGCACGGATGCCGCGCTCTCAAGAGCAAGTGGGTCTTCAAGCGCAAAGACTGCCTGATGGCTCCATGGCTAACAAGGCGCGAGTGGTAATCAAGGGCTGCGCGCAACGACGAGGGATCGACTATGACGAGACGTACGCACCAGTCGTCCGCGGTGACTCGTTGCGGCTGACTCTCGCGATCGTGACCGAGCGTGGAATGAAGTGTCGCCAAGGCGACGCGACCAACGCGTACATCCACGGGGATTCAGATGGCATGCTCCACATGGACATGCCAGACGGATTTGGCGATGACAGCGGTCGAGTCTGGGCGATCGATAAGGCCCTATACGGCATGAAGCAAAGTGCCTTGATGTGGTACTTACACAGGGCATCTTGGAAGACGACGGCTGTGTCTTCACGCGCCGGACAAACGGTGCTCTTCAGATCATCACGATCTACGTTGACGACATCCTCGTATGCGCGGAGACAGACGAGGAGGACATCCGCCTGAATGACATGGGCTCTGTAGCCAAGTTGCTGGGAATGGAGATTTATCGCAATGAGGATGAGATGACGATGGATGTGCTCCAAGTGACGTACATCGCGCGGATGGCGGCCAAATACGGCCTTGCGAGTGCCAAGGCAGTCGACACGCCGATCCCGCCAGGGACGAACCTGAGCGAGGACGTCGGCACGGTTCTCAATGACGACAAGCCATAC